ATCATAGCTCACTGCAACCTCCAACTCCTGGGCTCAAGCATCCTCCTGCCTCAGCCTCCCGAGTAGCTGGGACTACAGGTGTGGGCCACCATCTCTGGCTTCTGTTTTTCTTTCTTTTTTTTTTTTTTTTATTGTAGACACGGGGGGTCTCACTGTTGCTCAGGCTGGTCTTGAACTCCTGGCCTCAAACCATCCTCCTGCCTCAGCCTCCCAAAGTGCTAGGATTACGACTGTGGGGTGGGAAGAGAAGGGGGCCTGAACCATCTCTTCCTGGTGAAGGCTTTCAGGAGTCCAAGGACCCTCCATTTTACCTGGCCTTCCAGATGGTTTTGAAAGTATATTTGTTCAAGTGAGGAGGATAGAAAACATTTTAGTTTTCAGTTTGATTCACAGCTGTTAAATATTAGTCGCTTGGCCTGCGCGTCTCTGTTTGTGTTGTTCCCAGAGTCCCCAAATATTTGTGGCGGGATACAGGGAAAACCACTCACTCCTCCGGGGCCGGCTGTGGTTTCCTGCCTCCGCCTGTGCAGGGGTGCAGCTCTCCCCAAAGCCCGGGCGTTTCCTGAGGCTCCAAACCCCAGGTCTGTTCACATGTCCTGAAGCCCCTCGCTTTCCTTCTCGCTCCCATCAGCTTCCGGATCTTTTTGCAGGGCTGGCAGAGGGGAGGCGTGTTTCTGTACCGCTGCATCGCTCGCGGTTTATCTACCCTCTGAACTTGGCTGGGAATTGTTAACAGATGGTGCAGGGCTGTTCTGACCTTATCTTCCCTAACTTGGCTCAGCTGTTGTCTCCCTGGCACTTTACGATGCACAGCAGCAAACTGTCCTTGTTGTGCCTTTGCTCCTGTGCTGTTTGTTGATTGCAATCCTCTCACCTGTGTGGCCGCCCCGACTCCTGGTCACCTCCAACACGCCTTCGCTGACCTCAGGTCTTTCTTGTCCACAGTAGCTATTCCCCGTGCGTTCAAAAAACACTGACCATATTCCTTTCTTTGCATGTTCTGTACTCTATTACAGCTCGCATTGCATTTTGAAGTCCAGTCTCACGCCAGGAGGTGAATTCTTTGAGAAAAGCAATTAAAAAATTATTTTTCATTTTTTTGTTTCCTTGACACTCAGTGAAGTTCAGTTCCTGGGACATAACACACACACGTTTGTGGAAAGCTCATGATGTCTTACTTTCTAACACTGAGATAACAGAAGAAAAAATACATATGTCATTTTTTTCAAACCTTACATATAATTTTTAAAAATCTTTGAAACAAAT